TATTTTTTAACAAGAGTATCTGTACTTTTACTCAAGCACGGAAAGTGAGTACTTTTGCCATCTCTGCCAGCAAGGCTATGAAACCCCCAGCTTCCCTAAGCATCACTTTAGACTCATCATCATTCAACGATGGCAGCGGTTTGGAAAAATGCAGCATTTCAGCTAAACATTTTTTGGAGTTTTCATAATTAATGTTATACTGTGTTCCAAAATTGAACCAGTAAATCTAATAGCAACCACATGCTGCTGACTTAATGCTAGCTAACCAGAGGCTAACCCCTCTTTCACTGAGCTTCCTACCCGCGTTTATTCTCCCTGATACCAACACGTAACGTTAAGATCAATTATCTAAATAGATGTAGATTTTTTCTTTAGTTTTTTTTTTTTTTTTTATGAAACATTATTTACAAGATAATGCTTTATTTACCTCTAAATTAGATTCAAAGCTAATTTGACTATTGGTAAAACTAAGTAATAATGTAACCCTCAAACACAAATCCATCATTGCATCATTTCATTAATATTTTTTTATTTGCGTTTTAGCAACTATGTTCTTCTATGTGAACATAGTTGCTATTTGGTTTAGTTCAGTGTCACTAGTTAAGAGTTTTTTACTAAAATATGTTTGATCTAGAGATTAAATATTTTTGATAATAAATGTTTATATTTTGAATGGAGGTTTTTGTAAAACTAATCCGTTTATGTGTACAGTTAACTTTCACCTTTTGCCCTAACCCAGCTAGTTAGGTGTGTGTTAACAGGACAACATACACTATGACAGTAAAAAGTTGATTACATATTGAATAATATAAAGTGCGAGCAGTAAGTACGTAACGATCCATCGTTGTGACCGGTGTCGGTTCAGTCAGAATGACGAGCAGATGGATGTTATTAAAGGAGCTCTAAATAGAAACTGCTCCAGTTTTAGTTTAACGTTAACTGTGTAAACAGATCACTGTTAAAGCTTGACTAACTTAATACCGGTGTATGTAAAATCAGCAAAAAGAATGACTCACCTCATCTTCCAGCTGTTTGGCGTCTCTAGTAAATAAAACCTTCTCAGGTTCTGCTCTTATTTCTTCTCTCATCCTAAAGGTGCGGCACCATATAGATAAATAATCCCTGTCCTGGTGTTTATTATCTCAAGCTGAAGGCTCTCATTTCCTATTAAATAGAAACTCACGGCAACATTTTGATGACATGGAGGAGGTCAAACCTTCACTGAGATGGACTCTGGCCATAAATAGACTGTATGAAGGTTATAAGGTTAGGTTTATTAAGGGTTCTGATCAGATATGCACGTCTGTTTGTTGTTTTATACCTTTATGGGTGTGGAAAGTAAATGTCATACATCGATAACTGAGCTTCACCTAGCAATGGTGAACTCCTGCAGCTCACTAATCAGCTGCCTGTATTTTTGCTTCATAAAAAAGGGGGTAATTTTGGAGATTTCTAATGTTATGGTTTATTGAAGATCAATTTATTTTTATTTCATTGTTTTCTGTTACTGATCTTGTGTGTGTGTATGGTAGCAAGTCAACCAAAGGGACATTCCAATGCTTGACCTATGATGACTAGGCTTGTCCCGATCCGATCCACGTATC